GTCCCGGGACTTCGTTTACCGGTTGCCATCACTGAACAGCAGGTCCTCGTGACCATGGGATCCATCCCGTCTGTTGTTCCTCACACACACACACAAAAATGTGTGTGATCAAAAATAAATGAAATAAAAAGCGATTCGAGGAAGATACATAAAATAGTTTTCAATTGTACAACGAAATACAGTGAAGTTACCCGTTCCACAAAGAATAAACAAACTGCGAATGTGTGTAGCGACCACAGGATTGGTTTACTTCGAGGAAGAAAAGGATGAAAAGTGAACCTCTATGGTCAACACACACAGTGTACAATCCAATTGTGAGTACATACCATTTCAAGCGTTCTGGTTGGATAGAAAATGAGAACAAGGATGTCACTGCTGCCATGTCTAAAACCAACCAGTTGCTGTCTTTCGGACCCCGGCTTGGAATACGGGAGATGTCTACTCTACTTAATCGGTCTGTGCATTTCTTCTGGCCTCAATTCCACGTTATTCGTTGATCTTCGTGTGATTTCCTTCAACCTGGAGCCGCAACTGTGAATAGGGTGCGGCAGACGACCGTGGGGCATGCGCAATATGTGCTCTGCCTAACCAGTGAAGCCTCAAAATATGAATTTGATGACATAATGCATTCTCTACCGAATCAGTCCCAAATACTCGTTGGCTAATGTCTAGGTTACTAACGCGTTCACTTCAGAATTAAATTTTTTTGAAGTAATCCCCACCAGCGGTCGTGCAGAGTTTCATGCGCTCAAGCCAGTTGGTGGAACAGCTCAAACATGCCGAGGCCGGTAACCCTTCGACTAGTCCAATAAAGACCTCCACAACAACTGTTGGTGACTCATATCGGATTCCAAGCCTGCCACGCTTGAATTCCACAAAACACTCAAATACGGTGCTTCTTGAAAGTGAATCATCCCCAAAGGCACCTCGCAAACGATCAACAATCTGCTGTTGCTGCTTCAAACCACATTTGTAGTCGTAGAAAATCACCAAACCCGAGTGATACCAAACAAGTTCTATCATTACAGTTCGAGTACGGTGATTGTCGTGTGACTTGTGAGCTGTGCTCGACACTGTTGATATGTGGTTCTGTACAAGTTCTGAACAATATTCAAAATAGATTACAGTTCACGTTTTCCTTGTCTGGTGATCTGCACCTTGATACATGTACTGCGTATCCCCGAAACGTTTTCCTCATTCCACACATCTTATTAGCCTTGACCCACCTTTCAATGAAGTGCCTATTAGTGTGTAGAATACAAACTGCCTCCACAAGAAACAGTAAAAGCAGCCACAAAACTACATTATGGTCCGCTCACCACACAATTTGAACGTAACCTTATCAAAAACGAGCGGTTCAGAGAGGTATAAAGAACAGACCCATTAGGGAAGCGATAGACTTTGGAGAACAGATAGATAGACTAGGAGAAGTGAACAGACAAACAGGCGAAGTGGGGCCTTTGAATTCGGCCGCGTCATTTATCTCGAAAATCATATTTACACTTTTGTGGATTTATTCTTCATCAAATCGCATTGTTATCAATTTCAAGGACACAAAATGCTATCCTACACGAGCACGTTCATGAAATCGTTGTGTTATCGTGCGAACTGCAGCTTTTGTGAAATATTCCAATAATGTGAGAAATAAATTCAAGCGGATGATCAAAACACAAAACGGCAGAAAAAGAAAGCATCGAGCAGGCTGGCAAGTCGCTCTCAGACAGTGCAGCACTAGTCAAATGCAAATTCCTCTCATTTTAACAAGCAATGTTCGTTTTCTGTTGGGAAAAGTCGAGGAGGTGGTAGACATCACAAAGAAAAAGGAGTACAAAAACCTAGGAATTATTATGCTTCAGGAATCGTGGCTACATGAAGAAATCCCCAGTGAAATTTTACTGGTGGATGGATATAACTTGTATCGAGTTGACCGCCCCGCGAGTGTCCGTAAACGAGGTGGAGGTGTTGCAAGTTACGTAAGCGAAAACTGGAGTAAATCAACGGCTATCATTTACGAATACTCAACGGTTAAAATCAGTTGTCATGTCATCAAATGTAAGCCCCGTTTTTGAGTGGGTTTCATTCCATCCCTCTAGGAAACTTTTACCTGTCACCCACAATATCAGTTGCTGACATAAACAGCTTTTCAGACATTTTTTCTACCTCCATAATATCAAAAACAAGTGACTCTTTGTGTATACTTGTTGGTGATTTCAACAGATATGATGTAACACTCCGCACCACACCGGGTCTACAAAATTTAGTACGTTTCCTACCAGATTGAATCCACAGCTTGATTTCGTTTTCACAAACAGACCACAATTTTTTTAAAGTCCAGAAACGCGCTCCTCTGAGCAGTTCAGACTATTGTATCTTTAAAGTATGTCCCACTGTATACAGCAAAACCAACCGATACACATTTTTAAGAAGGCCTTAC